GGGCCCCAAGTTTCGGTCCTGTCCCGGTGTTCCCCCCTCCTCACCTGTACAGAGTGTCCGCACCGAGAGCCACCGGTACCGCGTGTGAGCTCAGCGCAGCGATCAGCTTCTATATCACCTCAGCCCGCCCCTTTACCGCAGGCCATCTAGGGGGCCGCTAGATGGCCTGTGCCATCTAGCGGCCGAAAAGGCTCACTGCACTCCCAGCGGTTACGGTAATTCGAGAAGAACCCGTTTACGTCGGTGGTCAGAGAAGAGGAATCCCCTCACTTTGGTAGTCAGAGAAGAAGAACCCCCTTACAATGGTGGTCAGAGAAGGGGAACCCCCTCACTTTGGAGGTCAGAAAAGAAGAATTGGTGGTCAGAGAAGAAGAATCCCCATGCATTGGTGGTCGGAGAAGAAGACCCCCCTTACATTGGTGGTCAGAGAAGAAGAACCCCCTTACAATGGTGGTCAGAGAAGGGGAACCCACTCACTTTGCAGGTCAGAAAATAAGAATTGGTGGTCAGACAAGAAGAATCCCCTTACATTGGTGGTCAGAGAAGAAGACCCCCCTTACATTGGTGGTCGGAGAAGAAGAATCCCCTTACATTGGTGGTCGGAGAAGAAGAATCCCCTTACATTGGTGGTCTGAGAAGAAGAATCCCCTTACATTGGTGGTCAGAGAAGAAGAATCCCCTAACGTTGGTGGTCAGAGAAGAAGAACCCCCTTACATTGGTGGTCAGAGAAGAAGAATCCCCTTACGTTGGTGGTCAGAGAAGAAGAACCCCCTTACATTGGTGGTCAGAGAAAAAGAATCCCCTTACATTGGTGGTCACAAAGTTACATAGTTAGTCAGGTTGAAAAAAGACACATGTCCATGGAGTTCAACCTATAGAGATATGAAAAAAAAAAAAAGATCAGAGGTCAGTGAAGAAGAATCCCCTTACAATGGTGGTCACAGGAGAAAGGGGCATTGCACTGACCACCGATGTAAAGGGACATTACACTGACCACCGACGTAAAGGGGCATTGCACTGACCACCGATGTAAAGGGACATTACACTGACCACCGATGTAAAGGGACATTACACTGACCACCGACGTAAAGGGACATTACACTGACCACCGATGTAAAGGGACATTACACTGACCACCGATGTAAAGGGACATTACACTGACCACCGATGTAAAGGGACATTACACTGACCACCGATGTAAAGGGACATTACACTGACCACCGATGTAAAGGGACATTACACTGACCACCGATGTAAGATGTTATTCACGTTAAAGTTCAATAAAGTGCCGCTTAAATTTGTGGCCAGTGGAGGGGAAACCTCTTACATTGGTGGTTGGTTTTGATGCTTCTTATACTGGTGGCCACTCTAGGGCCCCTCATATATTGGTGGTCAGAAAAGGAGTGTGCTCTTACATTGGAGGTCAGTGGGGAAGGACCCTCATATATTGGTGGTCAGAAAAGGAGTGTGCTCTTACATTGGAGGTCAGTGGGGAAGGACCCTCATATATTGGTGGTCAGAAAAGGAGTGTGGCCTTACATTGGAGGTCAGTGGGGAAGGACCCTCATATATTGGTGGTCAGAAAAGGAGTGTGCCCTTAAATTGGTGGTCAGTGAAGAAGTGTCCCTTACATTGGGCAGTAGAAAGGCATCATGGCACACTCACAAGTCAGCATGTAAAAAAACTTGTCTCACCACAAAGGTTAATAACAGAGGTTTGGATACACGTCTTCTGCAGAAAGACGTGTATCCACTGTATAGTTGGTGACAAATTGTTGAGTGCGTTTGTCATTTGTTTTGTTTCCCTTGCATTGGGGATCAGTGGGGAAGGACCCTCATATATTGGTGGTCAGAAAAGGAGTGTGCCATTACATTGGAGCAGTGGAGGTCAGTGGGGAAGAGAAGAAGGGCCCCGTTATACTGGTGGTCATTCCCTGACCTACAAATGACCAAATCTCCGGGTGCACGGGTAAAAAAAAAAAGTAAATATATTTATAAGAAAACCGGTAACAATCTGACAGGAAAAGTTTTCTTTTTGAGGAGTTAGATCAGCTAAAATCACCAACAAATAGATTTCAGAGGGAAGAACATATTGTTTTCTTCTCTCCATAAGAAGAGCGGGCATCCCACAAGTATTACAGGAAGTCACCACACTCCAAGGTCCAACGTGGAAATGCCTAAACAACCTGGCTACACTAGTAGACAACAACATTCCAGAACCGTCAATGGTCCCTCCATCAGGCAACATAGTGTCACTATGGACCTTGGAGTGCGGGTGACTTCTTGCAATACTTGGATTTACATGGCGCCATCTGCTGGTCATACCAGCTCCCATTTTATGATTTTGGGGATTTCGGTCTGGTGTGTGGTGGGACTTAGATTATTCCTACAAAAACAAGAGACTCCACACAATTCTCAGACATTTGTATAAGTCTGGGGTGACTGCTGGCAAGGTCCATTCACACTTAAAGGAAAACAATGAGGTGAGTGCTTTTCACTCACCTCATAGTTCTAGCCGACCTGTGACAATGAGACTGTCACAGGTCGGCTCAGTAGATCGGGAAGTGAGCGAACACATACCGGCGTTGTCACGGCTCTCTGCGGTGACAGGGGAGAGACTGGATCCTCCCCGTTCCGATCCTCCAGTGCTGACTGGCGGAACGGACGGGGGAGGGAGCGGGTACAGCTGGCTCTGGCTCTAGATAGGCAGAGCCAGCTGTCACTCACGCAGCTAGGCGGATCCAGACATAATTGTCGGGATCCGCTTCAGCTGCGGCGTCTCAATATACCGCGAGCTACAGCTCACAATATACTGAGCTTAGGGTGACGGGAGGAGGCTAGTTTGTGTCCTCCCGTTATCATAAGGAGAACTATGGGGAAAAGCCCTGACCCCATAGTTCTCCTTTAAGTCTTCCGTTGTAGTGCAGTAACGCACACATTAACACATGTTGCAGCACACGGTAACATACGTTGAATGGTGTGGTGCCTTGGGAACGTACGCACACATTAACACATGTTGCAGCACACGGTAACATAGGTTGAACTTTGTGGTGCCTTGGGAACGTACGCACACATTAACACATGTTGCAGCATACGGTAACATACGTTGAACGTTGTGGTGCCTTGGGCTCTACGTTACAATGTGTTGGGGTACATCCACAGTGAATGGCAACACAAGGCGCCACACATAGAGCATGTGCGTTAGCATGCAGTGCAGGAGCATGTGTTGTGTTGTAGTGCACCCTGTCACAAGTATGAATTAGGCCCTGTGTGACTTTGTTGCAGTGTCCTGTGTGGACATTGTACTGGGTCACTTTCATGTAGAACTGAAGGCAAAACTTTTTTATATGTTGGATAGAGTAAGGGAGGGTTATAACCCCTGACAGTTTTTTTTATTTATTTACCATCTGAGTCCCATTAGGGAGCTTTCCCTTCACTTCCTGTTCGTTATCTGCAACAGAAAGTGAGAGAAAATCCCTCCAAAGTGAGTGAAGTCCGTAGAGGTCACCATTGGAAGATTTCCCATCTCTTTCTGTTCTGGTGACAACCCAGAATTTGGGATTTTATTTCACTTTTAGGCCAGGTTCACACTTGGGCGATCCCAGGATCGCGTACAGCGTTTGCCACACGGTCCCATTGATTTCAATGGGGTTATATTTGCGCAGCAATCGCTAAAAAAAAGGTACGTGTACCTTTTTCCACAACGCGCACCACACGGCTTTTTCTACTGTGATTGCACACATGGAAAAAAACAGCCGGGAGCTCTCTAGATCTGAGCGGGCGTCTTTAGACGTCCCCTCGGCCACGCCCACTTGCGCGCGCTGTGCGGGAACGGGAAATACCGACGATTTAAACACAGGCAGCGATGCCTGTTAACATACAAGCGATCCGCCAGCTATAAAGCCGGCGGATCACTTGTATGAGCTGCCGCCCCGTGTCCCCCTCCCCCCCCCTCCCTCCATGCCCCCTCCCGTTGTCACGCTGATCCCGGGCTGCGCTGTGCCCGGGGCGAGCCCAGGGCCAGCATAATGCTTCTCTGACGGGATCAGAGGGAGGTCGGTACACGAGCTCCCTCCGGTCCCCTCTCCGCTGTCAGAATGCGGAAGTGTTGTATATTACATCACTTCCGCATTCTCGCGTCACTCTCCAGCTTCAGACGCTGGAAAGAAGCTGATGGAGCAGATCTCTGCTTCATCAGCTTCTTCAGGGGGGTCCTAGGTGACATTAGGGGTCTTGGAGACTGCTGATGTCTCTATAAAGAGGACCTGTCACATATTTTGCTATCACAGAAGGGGCTTTCTTAGCCCCCTCTGTGATAGCAATAAAGTTAAGTTGAAAAAGAAATAGGAAAAAAAATTAAAGTTTTCCAAAAAAATAATTGAAAGTTACACATAAACAAGAATTAAAAAAAACAATTTTTTAAAAAGTCCCCACCCGTACATACACGCGTGCAAACATGCGTCAGGTGCGCATACCTGCGAAAACAACGATTGCGCCCATTATGCCCGCACATGTTACATATCGCCGCAAACGTCGCAGTGAGAGCAATAATTCTAGGGCCATCAATCACTGATAACACTAAACTGATGAGCGGTAAAAGCTTTTAAAGCGTCGCCTATGGTCAATTTTGGGGAGGGTAGTTTTTTTGCGATTCCGCGGGTGCACGCAATTTTTAAGCTCGACATGTTTGGTGTCTATTTACCCGACGTGATCCCGTCTTTTATATTTTACCAAAAATTGGGTAATAATAAATGTTTTATAACATAATGTTAAAAAATAAAAATTTCAACATTTTCAGTAATTTTTCCGACATATAGTAAAAAATAAAAACCGCAGTGGTGATGAAATACCCCCAAAAGAAAGCTCTATGTGTCCCTAAAAAATGGTATAAAATTCATTTCAGTACGGCGTTGCGTGACGGAATAAACGTCAAAGTACCGCAGCGCTGAATACTGAAAAATGGCCTGGGCAGGAAGGGGGTGTAAACACCTTCTCTTCAAGCGGTTAAAGGCATCGCAAGCGCAATCCGCGGTTGTGCACGATTCCATGACCACATGGGGATTCGCGCGGTTTCATGCACTGTCGCCGTTCGTT